GGTAGCAGGAGCCATAGCATGCTCGGCGACTCAGTCGCCATATACACGGGCCAGTCTTGGCCGCGTAGGTTGGGATCGGCACCATGCGCTAGTAACCAGCCTAGCATCTCTGGGCGTTTCTCCCGGATAGCCGTTGTCACAGCTGTGTATCCCAGAGCGCTGCGATCATTTGCATTGGCGCCGCCTGGGCCCACGAGCCAGTGTACAGCCTCTGTGTTGTCATTCTGTACGGCGCACTCGACGATACCCGGTGGTTGGTGGAGGTCCGCACCGGCTGCCACTAAGTCCGGGAGGAAATGAAGGCGGTTGTGGGTGATACACTTCCAGGCTGGGTATTCAGACGCCATTAGGTTAGGGTCAGCGCCGTGACTGAGCAGTAAGGTGAGGATGTCTGGCCGGTCATCGCGGATGGCCGAGCATAGCGGAGTGTATATTCCGTCCTTCTTGGAGTTTGGGTCCATACCAGCCTGGAGCAAAACGCGCACGGCATCGATGCTGTTCACACTTGTCGCCTGCTCCATCAGGCCAGGAGTCTTTCGAACGTCAGCGCCGCGCGCGAGCAGGATGCGCAGGCAGCCTGGGCGGTGGACGGCGGACCAGAGGACGTGTTCAGGTCCTGGCATGTTTGGATTCGCGTCCTGATTTAATAGAGTGGTCACGATGGCTGGTTGGTCGCTTTGTACGGCTTCGCATAGCGCTGTCTTGCCGTGGTCGTCTTTGCGGTTGGGGTCACAGCCGGAATTGAGCAAGGTTTCGATAGCTTGCTGCGGTGCTCGCTTGCGAATTGCTTCGATCAGTAACGTTGTGCCATTGCGCGTCTCATCTTCCAGGTTGACGCCATGGGCGAGCAGAGTCTGCGTTAGCCTGGCGCTGGCGGAATCGGGCTCGGAATAGCTGTCATTCCGAAGGTTGATTTCTTCAGCAGAAGCTGTTAAGTTTGCCTTGGCCGGTCGGCGCGGCAGTGCTCGGTGCTCGAAGTAGGGGATCTTTTCGGTCTCGCGTCCAGGCTGGTTCAGAAACCCGTTCAGAGATAGGACGGAGGACATATCATCCGTGTTAATTTCAGGATCTTGTTGACGAAGGCCTTGGCTGGGTCGGGCGGCGGTGGATGATTCCTTCGGAGGCACGGATGGTGTCGACCGCATTGAATCAGGCAACTGACTTTGGATCGATGGTACGGACCGCTCAGATTCAAAAGTCTTGGCCTTGTTTATGCCCATCACAGAGCGGCCTTTAGATACGCGGTCGAGCGCAGCAGCTAAGCCTGCATACCCAATGCCTACCGACTCCTCTGGGTGTGCGTCTCCGAGAGACCAATGGAAGGCCATGCCGCTGATCCGAAGGGTTTCGGTGGCCTTCTTCAGTGACTCGTGAATGCGGCTGAGTTCATGGCCGGGTCGATGCCATCCTCGCTGCAGCTTTGCCAGTGTCCCGCGATGTTCATAATGAACAAGTTTCAAAATGACCTTGTCAAGTTGTTGAAAGTCGCGGTAAGTGGAAACAAATTTCTTTTCCACCTCTTCAATTATCACCTCGGGCAGGGCGCGATTGGCGGCGGCTAATTCGGTCACTCCGGCTTCAATGGCCCACAGTGTACGACAGGTATCGAGGAACGTATGGGAAAGCTCGCGAAAACCGTCGGGTAGGTCTTTGGTGGTGCTGATATAGTTGAGCATGTGCACGGAGATCTGATTGCCCAGTTGGGTAGCGAGAGCCGCGACGCTGCAGATGGCTTCCTCTGACTTAGCCGTCATGATGAAATGAGAGGCTCACCTTTGAGGCGGAGAAGGCAGGGAGATACAAAAGGAGTCAAGGAGAGACAGTAGTCTAGATTGCCCAGATAAACGGGCCAAACTGGTCAAATTTTGGGGCCAAACTGGCACATCTATACAGTGGAGCCAGTGATCCAAACTAGGTTAAACGCTCGGTCGAAATTGTCGACAATCTCGATCTGGGACGTAGCCGTGTCACAGGACCGCCCCCCACCCTCGCGGGTAGGGGGTGTCCCACAGCCATAATGCAATTAACCTCCATAATGCAAATTTCCTACCTTTTCAACTTTTACGCGTATTTCTACCCACCAAAAATGCCTAAAAAAGCTCGTGATGAAGAGGATCTGCTAGCTAAGGCATTATATGCTTATACTACGCGAAAATTTTCATCTCTACGTAAGGCTGCGGACCATTATCGCGTGTCTTATTCGAAGCTTCGCGGTCGCAAAAACGGACAGACATCTCTCTCCGATCGCCCTACCACCAATAATGCATTGAATTCGAATCAGGAAAATGCATTAATTAGCTGGATCGAAGTGCTAAATTCTTGCTATACACCTCCAACTGCAAAAGACATTGAAATTGCCGCAAATCGCCTGTTGAAAATAGCGGGTTCGGAGAGAGTTGTTAGTTCAATGTATAGCTATCGGCTTATACGGCGTCTACCTCCACACATCAAGCTTATTACCCAAAAATCAAAGGAGTCTTTACGAATTCAAGCTGAGGACCCTGGAGTTATTAGCCATTGGTATGATAGGCTTGAGTGTCTCTACCGTGAGCATGGTTTTGAACCTCATGAGATCTATAATTGGGATGAAACCGGCTTCCAAAATAGCGAAGGACTTAACCAACACGTCGTCTCTACGCGTCAAACTGCTAGTATTGCTACTGGAGATCGAGGTGAAACTATTACTGGCATTGAATGTATTGCCGCTGATGGCTGGGTGATGTTTCCGTGGTTTCTAGTCAAAGGCAGCGTCCACATGGAAGACTGGTATAGTAATATGTCAACCTCTTCTTCGGCGTACAAAATTATCCATTTGACGTCTAGTGGCTGGACGGATAGTGAGACTGCTTACCGATGGCTATGCTCAGTTCATGAAGCCACAAAAAACCGCGTACGACGCGGGCGACCGAGGCTTTTGCTAATGGATAATCATGCGTCTCATACAACTATCGAATTTCTCGATTTTTGTAAGGAAAACCTGATTATTCCTTGGTATTTTGTACCTCACACGACTCATATATGTCAGCCCCTTGATGCTGAGGCTTTTTTAAGCCTAAAACATAAGTTTAAAATGGCGAATACTGAGGTTGTGGCGTGGGGTGGAAGTAACGAAAAACGCGACTTTTTCCGCAACATTGACGCCGTCCGACGCCACGCCTTAAGGTCCAAAACTATCCAAACCTCGTTCAAATCTACTGGTATCTGGCCACTAGATCCGACACAAGTTTTGGGTAATTTAGGGCAATATTCGGACGAAGAGACCTTACGCATATACGACGAGCCGTCACCTACCCGCGAATTCCCAAGTTCAGCGACCAATTCTCCGCCCAATTCTTATGCGCGTATTGAAAAATTGGAGAAGACAGTTTTCCCGCTACTTGATAACCCGAATCCTGATTTACATAAAATTCGGAAGCATCTACGGCGCGCAATTGATGCCGGAAAATCGTCTCTATACAATGCGGAACTTGCTGAGATGAGTCTTGCGCGCGCCCTTAGCCATAAAACGCCTGGGAAAAAACCTACAAAAAGCAAGCGATGGGTGAAGGGTGCTACAAAGAGTCCCCTTTCATCGATTTCAGGCAATAGGCTAGTACAGCGAAGGTGTGAGAAAGAAGATGAGTCGAAGCTTCGTGCTTGGCGGAAAGACGCAGAGAAAATGGCGGCCGATTTGGCGGCTAAGGAATTGGAGGAAACACTTGAAAATGAGGAGGTTGATACATTATTGGCTAATGAGGCTATTGATGGGCTTTATTTCATGGATTCTGGACCTTATACGTCTAAAAAGTGAGCTAGAAGTTGAAGAAATTGAAAATTTGCATTATGGCTGTTAATTGCATTATGGCTGTGGGACACCCCCTACCCGGAGGGTTGGGGGTCGTCCCGTGACACGGCTAAACCCATAGTTTTCTCCTATTTAATGCCTGTTGAAACTATAGTTTACGGTACTAGATCACTCTATCTCGATCTGAGCTCCGATTTCAGCCTGCAGTGACCGAGGTGTTTACTGTTGCAGCATTTTGCCGCACGTTATTATTTACTATTCCAGATCTCCGTACAGTCACCGATGCCTCTAGTGAGAGTATGGATGTGGGACCGGATAAGTTACTATTTAATGCTGCAATTGAAGCACATACAGACCGGGGAACAGTGCATTAAAATCCACTACCTGTATGTTAACAGCTGCCTTCGACTTTTAAGCTAGCAGGCACCTCCGGCATCTATTCAGCAATCGCATTCAACTCCTATAATGACGGTTTATCAACATCCTGTTCAAGGAGCCTGTTGGGTTTGGCGCTGTGCTGCGCCCCGCTTAGCTTCCCATTGAGTTTTTGAAAAAGTTGAAGCACACCCAAGTGCCCAAGAGGTTTCAGAATTTCCTTTAAATTTCGCCACTGGTTTCGGATCTGAGTCTGAATTTTTGGATTGACTTGTTTCACAAGTGAATTGTATTATCAAGCTCCGTATCCACAGTGAGCCCTAAATCTGCGATAGTTGGACCGTGATTCTGAGACATAGTGGTTTTTGAGTTTCTGCCGATGTTCCACCGCTGCCAGCTGAGTATCAAGGATGTACGACTCGGGAAATGTTTAAAGGTCTATTGTGATTACTTCACGGCGCTAGGCAACATGATAAAAAGGTCTCCCTCGCAGAGGTACTGAGATCTCTCAACAATTGGATTTTATCTAGGCCATACAATTCTATCTGCCGTCTCTTGCTATTCATGTTGTAATTCAAAAGGAAGATTGATTCAGCTATTATTCGGTGGGAAACTTGAGACTATATATATTGCAACGAGAAGAAAAAGTTGATTTCCAATCAACTTGGTTCTTCGTATACATATCTCGGAATTAATTCCGATGGTTCGGCTTGGTTCCTGATCTGCACCAGCCTCATATCACAACAATTCATGTATCTCTCTTGCTTGATTGGATGAATTTTAGGTAAATACTAATATGCTATGTGGGTATATTACATATAATAAACAAGCAAGCAATAGCCTATTGGACTTGAGTAAGCCCCGACAACCAAACAAACGAAGCAAACCCCGAAACTATCTTCTTTATTCTAGTGATTTTAGTCAATTCCACGGATTTTTCACTCTGGGTGGGATGAGAGGCTTGGTAGAGAGGCGCTGTGAGTTGCATTGTTGTTGATGGGGGGTAGACTTGGTCGTTGTTGGCGTAGAGGCTGCCATCTTTGATGGCCCAGTCAATGGACTGTGGATTGTTAGAACATGTGTATTCTGTGGATTCTGTATATTCTCGAGGGTGCACATACCAGAAGTGATTTGACGCCGGTTTCGATGTCATCGGGCGAAGGAACAAAAGGAAGGCGGAGTTGGTGAAACTTGGTGGGCGTTGCGGAGGCAACGGCCAGGCAGAGGGCCAACCATGGGAGACGCATGATGAATAGGAGAGAGTAGAAGGAAAGGAAAGAAAAGAAAATGTGGGAGAAGGAAAAGAGGCCAAGAGGTTAATAGGTAACAAAGAAGCCGACTGCACAGCTGAGAGGGGAAGCTAAGACTTTTGGACCCTACGACTCTGGGGGAATTACTTTGGAGTGGCTGTCTGTCCGAGAAGCAAAGAGGAATCAAGAGTGGATGTGGGGTGGATGTGATGTGGAATATAGGAGCCTAAACCTATCCTCTACTTCTACTCCCTGATAACCGTGGAAAATAACCTCAATTCCCCTTCAGTCCTTTCAGGGTCGAAAGCTTAGCGTCCAATGTTAAGCTCGGGGAAAGGTTCAAATAGAAGTGAGACCTGCTAGACCAACTACAAACTTGTGAGGAAAAGCATGGAAGAACGAATATCGATAAATAAACTGTTGGCACTGGGCGGATGGATAGTCTCTGTCAAAACTCCGCTTCATCCGGAATCAAGATCAATAAGCCAGAGTTCACTAACCACTTTCCTCATCGAGTTTAGTCTCAAAGTTTGGGCACCACCCGCTTTAAAACCTTGTATATACAAGCTTCTGGAAATTACCTTCTTGCATACCTCCACCCCTACCATCGAATCAGGCGCGTTTATCTCTCAAGCCCCTAAACTTACTACGTCGTATTACTTGCTTACATGGATGTTCGCGGCTCTGGGAGAGACGCAACTGACTTTTGTCCTTGGCCGTTTCGTCCAATATCTGCTGGCCCACCACCAGGCACGCGGCGTAAGCCGGGAAGCGAGATTGTTCGATTAGTTAAGCCATGGCTAATCTTTCCACGAGGTTCCCTGGCCGTGAGCTTGGTGAGGCTGGTCTTGATGCTTATTCCAGTATTAAGGCTATCCATGTGAATATGAAGTCCAAGCTTTAAGGGGACTCAGCACGACAGCTGGGATCTGTATTGTTATATATCAAAACTGAACATGCGCTTTGTGAATTTCAAGATGTTGCTATTCCGGTAATATATACACTAGAATTGGGATACCGTCATCTCAAGCCCTGGAACAACAACGCCTTTTTTCAGTTGCAATGAACATGATTAGGTGCAGCTTGAGCTTCCAGCAACGAAAGTACCATCCGAGTTCTCGCAGCCACACTCACCAGTCTGGGGATCTTTGATGCAAGTAGTGCCGTATCCACTGCTCTTTCCACCATCGCCCCAGTTGAAAATCCAGTAGTCAGAGTCCTCCGTTAACTCACTGGTGGTTGGGGCAGTGCAAGTGTAGGCGCTGCATGTTCCGTAGGGAGCGCCGTTGTTGGAGTCGTATTGGTGGTCGGTCTCGAAGACGGCGAAGGTCTGGGTGGACGAAGTGCGAGTATTGTGAGAGCACTCAGCAGCCTGGATGGCCTTGGAGACCTTGGCAGCTATTTTAAGGAGGTTAGTTGATACGTTCGGATACACTAGAGCTGGGTATTTATACTTACCAGAGCAGTTGAGGCTGCTGGGCTTGTAGCCCTTGCTGTTGGAAGAAGCAGGGTCGAGGGTGGCAGCGACAAGAGCTGGGGCAGCCAGCATGGAGAGGAAAGTGATGAAGTGCATTTTGAAGGTTAAGTGTTCAGATGTGGTGATTTACGCAGTCTGGAACCAAGGTGTAGTCGATATATATATGCAATACACAGCTTTAGCATCGATCCAGGAGACGTATGATTATGGAGTCAATTTTCTCTACCTGACACAGGAGTACTCATCAGCTATGGAGTAACACATGTCTAGAGCAGATTGCTGAAAATAACGCCTACTCAGGGGGACCCACTTCAGCTTCCATAAAGCTGAGACTCATACAATGTGTGTTTCAGCTAGAGGCCCGAAACAGCCAAGATGGTCCTCCCATCCCACACAATGATCCACTCGGAGGCCTTATTTCACAAGAAGGATGGATTTGTGAAGCATAAAGGGGTAGTTCCGAGCCATAAAACCTTACATCGGGTTATTGCTGTATACCTTCAGATTTGAAGACACATATCATAACAGTGCTATCATTTACTAGTGTGGTAGTTCAAAGGAAGATTAATTCTGCTGTTATTCGGTGGGAAACTTGAGACTATATATACAACGAGAAGAACAAGTTGATTTCCAATCAACTTGGTTCTTCGTATACATATCTCGGGATTAATTCCGATGGTTCGGCTTGGTTCCTGATCTGCACCAGCCTCATATCACAACAACTAGTGACCGACAGCTTACTAAAGAGCCGTCAGCCAAGTTTCATACAGAATGTGTGATGTTTGAGAATGTCCGTTCCAGATCTTTAACCCCCTACATTAAAACGGTAATCAGCCTAAGATGAGCCTAGGTCCTAGGCAACGTCAGACACCATACGTCAACCGATTAACGTACTAAATTAAAGTTGTGGCTGCTAAAAGGCTTGTAACCTAATTGAACACAAGTTTAGTTAGAAAAAATGGGTTCCAAATATGAAATGACTGGCAGCAATCAGGATTTTAAGGCAAATAATGCGCAATAGTTTTGAAATCGGAGGTCTTTCCCAGATCCCCACGGCACCAACTCTTAAAATAAATTTTTCTACCAGTAAGTGGGCCAGAAATGCGCATGAAAAAAGCATGGAATATTTCTTTCAGCCAGATCGTCAGGTATATAATCAACGTCGTTACCAGTAAATTGGTTTCAGGGAGCAAAAACTTCTAGTTTGCCAGACCACTAAGTCTTAAAATATCTCTTTGCTACGAGCAATCTCGAAAAGGTGCTGAAGATCAATTCCCAGTAGCAAGCTATTGGCTAGATTTTGTAAGCAAGTTAGCCGAGATGGATCCGATTAGCTTTGGGCTTCCGAGTAAACTCACCTCGTCGCAATGCATTGCTGTCATCTTATGAAGTAGCCCAATCCGCATGCCTTCCCAAAGACCCGGAATGACAAGCAAAGAGTTTAGCTTCAGGTGTAAGGTCTCATGTTTGAAGAACTGTTTCAAATACTTTCCTTTCTTACTTCCCGCGAGGGCCTCCAGTACAGCCCACCAGTTATTCGCAGCGAGTGGATCCCTCGGCGTGTTGAGGTATCCCTCGTAGCGATTGATCCTCTCGTAAATCAGTCCATCGGGTGGGCGATTGTCGTTTGGGTATCGCTCTTTCAGCGATTGAATGAACTTGTGACGAACAGACTCTACCTCATTGCTGTGGTTCTCGGGCGAGGCTAGGCAATTGTCAACGGGGATCTCAGAGAGCTAGAGCCGAGAAAACGCACCTTCATCATTATCTGTTAGATACACATCTACAATCCACCACTGGTTGTCGTAGTCGAGGACATGCTTGGCAGCCGTGATGAGATTTTCGTGATCGTACGCGCACAACCGGTATCTAACCCCATCTCCAAGGTAGACATGACTCCACTGCCAGATCGCGGACGTACGCGGTCTTGCCAATGAGCCCTGGGAACTATCACTGGTACATGGTTGTCCCGCATCAACCGTTGGCACCCTTGAATCTTCATCATTTGTTTCAATCGGCGGATGTTCTGCCGGCCGTCCATCTGTCTTCTGAACCCGGTTTCGAAGACGAGGTGAGAAATATGCACTCTAGCAGATAGCTCGAAATGACGTTCTTTATAGTCGTATAACTTTCGCTCCCAATGTTCAACTTCTGCTTGCCTGGAAGGTGACATGATGGGAGCTAGTACAAGTCACATGTGAGTTGCAGATGAGCAGGTGTTTAGAATGACGCGAGAACAATGTGTCGAGGGAGACTCCATATAGTAGTACTTATACCAGCTTTATTATTGAACCTTTTTGGGAAGAATTTTGAGCCAAAGATCTGGATTCGACGATCTATTGCATGCCCTCCTATTCCACCGGTCAGTGAAGTCAATTATCTGCTGCACCAGCTACAGTTGTTTATTATGGGAAGCTCATTTCTGCTGGTAGTTTACCTGCCACGCTACTACTGCCCATGGAGTGAGGCGGAAAATTGCGCCAGCCTCAATTATCTGGTTTGCCGAATACTGCCCACACGGACTAAGCTGACCATATCTTGGACTTTTATAAAGAGCTTCCTTGCATTGCGATGCAACATGTTCTCAAATGTTACCCGGATGTCAAGGCCATAATCGGTTAAGATACCCATTCGCTTCTCGCTTGTGAAACATGAAGCTTTCCACCAAGAGCAAACTGGATTCGCTAGTTTCAACCACGGCACTGTCTTTTTCTGTCGCGGTTTTGGGTTGTCTATCTTTTATCTTTGTCGGATGTTCGTCGTCTTCCTCTCCGAGGGGTCTGCATTACTTGCAAGTAAGAAACGCCCGAAAACACTTCAGTTCTAATCACCTAGCTAAGAAATCGGCAGGTAGACCTGAAAGATTTTCCAAAGCTACCTGATTTACAAATTCGGGATTCGTTCAATATTGACAATGCGCGTTCCGAGAGAGGGGGAAGAAATGCCGTCGAAGACGTGGCGTCTAGCGTCCATACCAGCGCACATGAAGCAACTATTGAGGCAACGTCCGCTGCCAGGAGCATGATTCAAGCCCAGATACACGACTTGAAGTCACATCTGCCTCGATACTATTTTGTTGGCCTCTGGAGCTACTGCAAGTCCCAGGATGGCTCGAAGATGGTGTGCTCCCACCCCAGCACATCTTTTTCTTTCGATCTATCTGCCTTGCTTGATTCTACGCCAATAAAGGTAATCGACGTACTTCCAGAGATAGATCAAAGTCTGATTTCCGGCTACCGTCAACTCTCCCTGAGTGCGATCCGTTTGTATATTTCCGGGTTTGTGGCAACCACGTTGACCATAATCTTGGCTGGTCGCAAGTGTTTCTTTTCCAGTGGTAGCAAGTTACTTGCCATATTTTACACGGTATGTAATACTCGGGAGAACATAGAAAGATGCTGACAAACCAAGCTTTCATCGACGCTCATTACGACTGCCACAATCTTGGCCATGGTGCTGTATGGTCTTTTCGCTTCCGTCGTCAAGAATAACTTTCAGACCTATGGTGTCCAAGTCAACT